AAATGAGACGTAAAAAAGTATAAAAGTAAATGTAAAAAGAACGCACCCATACCCTCAAAAGTTTATTTTCGCGACCGTTTGTCGTAGACATAAACTTCTAGTTACAAAAATGTTGCAAATGACAAGATTTGTGTTTTGAGAATTTTTAAATTTAAAAAAAATTGTAAAAAAAAAACAACCTTTATGTTTTCAGATTATATATAGTCCTTCTGGGCAAATTGCGCTTTTGGGCTAAGAATTGCGAAATCTATTTTTTTTGCACGTTACTTCCCTTTTGGGCTAAAAATTACGAATAATTTTTTGCACGTTACTTCGATCATTAAGGACCTTAAAGAAATGATAAAATGTATTTTTGCGAAATGTTATAAAATGTATTTTATTCCACGAGCTTTTGGTGCCGCAAAAGCGCATTTTTTAAGTTTATTTATTTATTTATTTTTGTTATTAATTTGAAATCGGTTTTGCAATGAGCATAAACTAATATATTTCCAAATTATGTAAAAAGATATATCACATTTCAGCTTTTAGAGTGGGCTTTTGCTTTGCAGTTTGACAGTTACCGTATTTGTTATCCTCTGATTATATTTATTTAATAAAAGCATGTTGGCTTTACATAAATACTAACGATATTTTATTAGTATACTTTGTGAGTGGCAACAGTATTTAATTTCAGTGTATTGTTCTTCTAAAAAGAATATTCTTTAAATTTACGTAATGCTTAATACTAGATTCTTTCAACTTTCTTGGCAGAACATATGCTGTAAATAAAAAAAGTCTTTTATTTTGGGAATCCTCGGTGTGTAATGTTTCTTTATTAAAAGAACTGGAGCCTGGGTTTCAAAGGTAAATAGTTTAGCAGCAGAAAATTCGGTGAAGTTTAGGATTGCGTCTTACAGTATAACTTTCGATTACTGAAAACACGGTTTTGGCCAATTTAAATCATTTACACATATGAGAAGGAAGCTTGAGCAGTTTTCTTACAGTCTTGCATCATGAACATTCGAAGATGGGCAAGACGAGTAAGTATTTTTTCTGACCGCGAAAATTGATATTTACATATGAAACTCTTATTGAAACATTTAGATCAAATGAATAATTTATAATCTTTATTTTATTTTTAATTATATACTGAACTGAATATAATACAATCAACTGACATCTTTCAAATAATTTATAATTTTATTTTTGTGCTTGTTTGAGATTGTATCGTTTTCCCAGTGTAATATTAACTCATTCATTCCTCTATTAAATCATGCATTATCATGTGTTCTTTTCTGTGGAAGCTATTAAGTAGAGATTTTCCTGTCCCATTGGACTGTTAAGCCTTTTTCGCCGAGAAGCAGCATTAAATTATAATTGTTGTCTGGTCCTCTTGTAATGTCTGGCTTCATCGCCGAGGTGAACGGACCATTAAAATGAGTTTTAGAAGGATTATGAAGGATCTGATGCGTAATCCCAGAGTTCCTTCCCGAGATCATTGCGGCGCACTTCCTGTGACTCTTTGAACGCTTTTTTCGTATCCATTTTTAACGGCGTCCAATGTTCCAGCTGTTCGCAATGAATGAAAGTGTATAGTTGTTGATGTTTAATTTGCATTTGCGTTGTTTCTGAAATTCTTGGAATTTAAACATTAGAAACACACTATTAGTCGACCATTTAAGTCTAATGTCACGCTAAAGTTAGGAAATATGTTTAGCGGAGTTTTTGCAGATTTTCTGAGCTCTAATGACACAAAGTAATCCACGGTTAAATAAAAGTTACGGTTAATCCGAGGTTAATTATAAACACACGCACAGGAAATAGGAATAAACTGAACAATTTGCCTGCATTTTACAAGCAATTTTAATCTGAAGGATGCAGTTATATGGTCTCGAAAACTAAATTCATATTCAAAACAAAAAGAACGTACCGTAAATAACGGAAGTGCTCACTTCTTTATACAGGGTTGTGAAAATCAAACTCTTTACAATGAATAACATAAATATTTTACTTTGCTCCAACATACAAAATGCAAAGGGAATATAACATTACATTTCAGAACACAATTGTAGTAAAAATAATAACATATTGCCACATCTCTGAAACAAAATCAAGAAAAACTTCTCTTATTTAAAAGTAGAAATAAATTATTTTAAATGTTTTATGAGAAACAGCAGCACCCTCTTTCGGTGGCAAACAACATAGTGAATATGAAGAAAGTGAATTAATTGCGTTAAAGAATATTTACATGAGAACTTGAAGAGCATCTTGAGTTCAAACTCGTTTAATAAACTCGGTTAGAACTTCTCTTTCTTTCTTTTTTTTTAATAGGAAATAGTAAACTATATTATAATTAAAAAAAAAAAATTCTGAAAAATTTGCATGCATTAACAAGCAAGTTTAATCTGGAGGATGCAGTTATATGGTCTCGAAAACTAAATTCGTATTCAAAACAAAAAGAACGTACTGTAAATAACGCAAGTGTTCACCTCTTTATACAGGGTTGTGAAAATCAAACTCTTTACAATAAATAACATAAATATTTTACTTTGCTCCAAGATACAAGATGCAAAGGGAACATAACATTACATTTCAGAACACAATTGTAGTAAAAATAATAGCGTGTTGCCACATCTCTGAAACAAATTCATGAAAAACTTCTCTTATTTAAAAGTAGAAATAAATTATTTTTAATGTTTTATGAGAAACAGCAGCGCCCTCTTTCGGCGGCAAACAACATAGTGAATATGAAGGAAGTGTTTTAATTGCGTTAAAGAATATTTACATAAATATATAGACTATAGAGCATCTTGAGTTCAAACTCGTTTAATAAACTCGGTTAGAACTTCTCTTTCTTTCTTTCTTTTTTAATAGAACAATATCCAGGATTAAGTACAATTAAATTCGTACTGTTGTGAATAAAAACAACTCTAAATCATATTACGTAATTTGCTAACACTGCTATTATCCCATGCATTTTACTTTTCAGTGTTAATTTTCCGTTGGCTGTTCTGTTTTCCGCGAATTGTAATTTTTAATTGTTTCACAATAATAATAATTAAAAAAAATCTGAAAGGTTTCCGGTTTTAATGGCAACTCAAAAGAGTTTATTAAGGTTTTCTTACGCTCTTGTTGAGCTCGCAGTTTAACCAGTCTGCCGTTGCACTCATTCCTGCTAACCATTTTTTTTTCCCTTTGTCTTTTTAGCTTTATTATAAGCATCGTTTTCTTCATGGTTACGTCATAATGCAATTCGGCAGCAAAATTTTAAAAAAATTTTGTGACAGACAGCTTAGCAGCATATGTTTAGAATTGCCGATGCAGTGTTATGTTTAGAATTGCCGCAATTACAAAGCAAAACACAAAATATTAAAAAACAGCACGACTTTAGAATTCCGGATAGACAGTTTCCCACACGCTAGAGATAAAAATCTTTTATTTCGCACAGTGTTGCCACTGCTGTCTTTCAGATCGTTGAGTTTGTTAATCAAAAATTCATTAAAGTTTTACAAACTATGAAGCAAATAATAAAACAAACTCGAAATTAAAAATTCGAGTTTCCAGGTGCACCTTTTTGGGTGGAGTATTACGTTGTAAATTCCATTGCTCTAGGTACCGTTGATTTTCACAATGCGAAGAACGCATACATGCATGCAGATTATCCGTCGTTTAATTTCTTTAAACATAGTGCAGGTCGATAATATTGAATGGCAACAGTCTGAAAAATGATACGATGTTTATAGTGGTGAAGCAACGCAGAATCGTATTTCAAGACTGGTAGCCTCTTTTAAGCTGCTAAAAAAAAAAAAAAAAAAAAAAAAAAAAAAACTCAGTTAATCCACAATTAAATTAGTCCACTCCCAGTAAAAATTTACTGTGATAATTTTTTTAAGACACACAAAAAACATTTAACTGCATCCACGCTAGAGTTCGAAACAGGGATCTGCCACTTGTTAGCTGAAAGTGCTATCAGATGCACCATGAAAGAAACTTAAAAGAGAAAGCGGTAATTGCTTACGACGTTACGTTATGCTACTATGTCTTTTAACATTTATGTGTCTTGACCAGTAATACCGTTAAATGAGTGATAAGTTCTTTAATTTATCTTCTACGCGGTCTTGCAAATAGCCAGTTTCCAAACAGCTGTGACGGTCATTGCCGTGCCTATGTGCCGGGTTCGAATTCCGGAGAAGGCATTGATGTTTTTAAGTGTACAGTGTCTCTGCAGCAAGGGGACTCTCAAAATACATGGCGAGCAGAAAATCCTCTCAAATGGTTGGCAGTAAGGAAAAAGGGTGAATACACTTGGGCCGCCCCCACCCAGGCGTATTCTTGCGCTCCTTGCCACGAGGCATTTGGTGGGCTTGGGCTGACTACGTCAGCAAGTGAGCATAAGGAACAACAACAAGTGTTAGGTAAATAGAAAAAGTTAGGAAATCCGAAAAAACGCCGATCTACGAAAGAAATACTAATGACTTAGTCAGAGGAATAACGACGTATAATCGAAGTTCAGCGTCATATAAATAAAAAAAATCATTAACATGAAAATTTATGATTGACGTGAACAAAAATGAATTGGAACAAAGATGAGAGTACGCATAAATGTATTAATAAGAAACGTACAAACGGTGCTTCACTAAACTTTTGCATTTATTTTGTTTTTTACTAATATTTGCTAATTATTATCTAATATTACTTCTGTTTATCTCGTTCACTCGCAGAAATTATTTGAGCCGCGAAAAAAAATTCGATGAATAAGTTATAACAGTAAAAAGTGTAACTAGAGTTATGTGCCGTATGAAAGAAATATTTTACTATTAACACGAATAGAAATTAACTGCAACAGAGGTAAAAAGGTATATATGTAAAAGGCGTATAAGTGAGACAGGTAATAAATGTGAAAGACGTATAAATGGGACATGTATAAATAGTATCTTAATGTAGTTGTTTTTATATGAGAAATATGTATTTTTTATACCAAATAAACTGCATGGATCACTAATTTTAGTATTCTCTCCTAGGAGCGGATGTGGCTTCGGAGTGAAGGCCGCTTGTTCGGCATCGTGTTTGTGCTTTTCAACGTCCTGTTGGCCATCTTCAACGTCCTCAACTATAGAGTCGCCTCTCGTGCAACCGTCCCTTGCGTCGTGATCGTTGCCCCTACGCCGCCACCTCCAGCCGTCGCCACACCGAACACACCACAGACGTTACACCGCCGCGGGAAACCGATCCTCACGACATCATCTGCATCGCTTTCATGGACAGATCTCCCTGTCACTGGTAATTCTTTCCTTGCTTTTTGGATATAACTATTTAGCAATGTATGCAGTGCAAATTATTGGACATCCAGTAGCTGAAGGCTTAAATTCTTTTTCGTCCTTACTGAGCAAATAAATCAGCAACAAGTTGCGCTTCTTGTATACGGTTCAATTTCGATTTAGTTGACAGTAAAGTATTTGCCTAAAGAAAGGGATGCCATCATGGGAAATCTTCTAAGAGAAGAAAACGAGAAAGCGCTCATGCAGCGAGCCCGTTCGCCTGGAATCTTTTGCGTTAACGGAGCTGTAATTCGATTAGAAAGTGTAAATAAGACAGTTTACTTTCCTGGCTGATTCCTCGAAGCTTAGGCACCAGTGTTAATTTATAAGTCAAACAACAAAAATCAACGTTATATTTTCAAATTTTCACAGAACTAGTTTCGATGGTTTTACCGAACCATCATCCTCAGCTGCAAAAGCCCAAACGAACGAGATAAGATATAAAGATTAGATATGATAAGAAAGCCTGGACAGGAGATAAGCCACTGGCGCCATCTGTATATGAAACCAGAACTAAAACATAATTTCTTTAGAGGCCGAAGGCAAAGGTGGATTGGAATTAGGGTCGTTAACTAGAACAGAAAGATTTTTTTTGAATGTGAAATGCCTCTAGAAAATCCAGTTCACCAATGGAAGATGTTTTTTGAATAATTTTGGCAGCAGAAAAATTGAAAGTGTGATTTTCGGACCAACAATGTTGGGCAACAGAAGACTTTTTGTTGTTTGACTTCTAAATTAATATTTGTTCGGCGTGTTATTGTATCTTAACCGTACGTTTATCAAGTTCTTGTAAGAAGTACACAGGAGAAAAGTTAAAAGTACCCTTTATTTAACTCTTTAAAATTTACAATGTGTCAACTCGACGCTAACACACTACGCCTCCCTTGGGCGGTAACTGAAATCACGGAACTAAACTAAAAACTCGAAGATGTTCATAAGTAGTAGAAAATTAAGTTACAGGGCTCAGATAACTCCTGTTTCTTAAACCCGCGTCGAAATTAGTGCCGGCAAAGGAAAATGCTGTTATACCACGTAAACCAGCAATAACTCCGTTAGTAGAAGCTCACGCAACAGAGGTGACGGCAACAGCCTAATTATCTCTAGCGTTTCTTCTAAAACTCGGTATTTAAACTTTTTCTCCTCCAGGCTGAATTTGCATTCCTTCACGCGCGCTGTCAAATTTGAATATTCTGACGTTGATAATTAGGGAGAATGAAAGATTATAGGAAAGCTTAAAATTAAATAAAATTGGTTATTTAAAATAAATATAAACCCCTACAATTTATTTCATATTTTGCCAAACATTAAAGAATTTTTCATTAAGAAACTGAAGGATTTCAAAGCTAGCAATGGCAACACCGTACCGAGGGGGAATATCTCCAGCGTGCGAGTGTGTGTATCGGAAATTCTACAAACATGCTGTTTTACGTTTTTTAAGATTGTGATATTGCTGTTAAATTGAATTAAATTTTATGTGGTTTAAGTACGAAGAACAGGATATTTAATATGTAAAGGTAACACACGAAACGTTAAATAACGCCCCTTTGGGCGTAATTTAGAATCTGAAGGCTTTCAGATTGTTAGTTCAAAGGGAAGACTATTGTACCTGAGGAACTACGGTTTTCGTTTTGCGATTTTGCATCGAATCACTCTGAATGTCCGTTTCACTTTTCAAACTGTTGCAACAAAATATTATCACCCTGTACTATATTTGAAGAAATTAAATAAGGAAGAATCTGCATAAATGTATGTATGTTTCTCGCATTGTGATAAAGCATAGAGCCATCGAATTTTGAATGACGTAATTCTACTGCGAATATGGGCATGTGAAAGCCCAAATTTGAAATTTGGAATTTTTTTTATTATCGATTTCATATTTTGTAAATCTTTAATGAATTTTTGATTAACAAACTCAAGGATGTCAAAGCTAGCAATGGCAACGTTGTACAGAAAAAGCATTTTTATCTCCAGCGCGTGAGACTGTGTTTCGGAAATTCTAAAGATATGCTCAATTTAAAATTATTTTGCGATATTGCTCTTGAACTGAATTTTATGGTTTAAGTGCGAAGAACGTGATATTTAATAAATAAAGGCAACGCACAAAATGTTTTGAAAAAAAAAAAAAAAAAAAAAAAAAAAAAAAAAAAAGCCCTCTGGATGTAGTTTAAAATTTGAAACCTTTCAGATTTTTTACTTATTTAGTTATTTTTTCGGCTATTTTGAAATTTTGAAGTAAAATCTATGATAGAACTTCAAATCAAATTGGGGAGTTAAACGTACGAATTTGATCGCCAAATGGAAAGAAAACCCAATTAGAAGTATTTCTTGATAGAACTATCATGATACGATTTTACATTTACTTATTTTTAAGGAGCGGAGAAGCTGTAGGTTATTCAGAAATGTTAGCATCTGCTGTGTTTTTTGCTTTTCCAGTATGATATTCGGATTTTGAAGATATTAGATATTACATAATTATCGTAAAGGTTTAAATTTCTTATACAAAATTCTAAACTTCAGCTTGCACTCGTTAGCGTAATATTTTCGTTCATTACGTTGGACAAACATTTTTTTTATCTGAATTTCTCTTTCCCAGAATGCCGTGATGGTAAAGCTTAAGATCTCCGAATACGGGAGAGAGAGAGAGAAAAAAAAATGTGAAGTACTTCGGTTAATGCCAGCAGTTGCAAATATTTAAGATTGACTGAGCAAAACGAAGCATGACCTTGCGTTCCACATCATTTGCCATTGAATGATTTCTATTGTTGACATTAATGGATCCAAGGAAGCATTAGAAATGAAACGAAAAGGATTGCGAAGTATTATATTCGAAGGAGCATTGCTTTTAAACTGCAATGTAGTTGCAGTTTATTAAACCTTATTTTAGTATAAGTTAATAAAATGACTAATTTCTATTCGTACAGTAGAACAGTAGCAGTGTTGTTTAATTTAGAAAAGCACGTAAAAAATAATCAAATTAATATAATAATAATAATAATAATAATAATAATAAAAACTGAAAGCTTTCAGATGTATTATCACGCCCAAAGGAGCCCTTTTCTTCCCCCCCCCGCCCTCATTTACACATACATACACGTTTCGAGAACATTTGGGCTCATACTCCTTTGGGGTAAAAGTATTTAAAAACAGCATATCCTTAGAATTGCCGATAGACAGCTTCGCGCGCTGGAGGTAAAAAATGTTTTATTCTATAGAGTGTGTTGCCGAAGCTCGCTTTGAAATCGTTGAGTTTCTTAATCAAAAATTCCTTAAAGTTTTAAAAAAAAACATGAAACATATAATAAAACAAACTCGAAATTGAAGATTCGGGCTTCCAGGTGCCCATGTTCGGGTGGAGGACTACGCTATTCAAAAATATGATGGCTCTAGGTGTCGTTGTTTCTTCACAATGCGAAAAACATAACAAACATTCAGGCAGATTCTTCATTATTTAATTTCTTTAACTATAATACAGGGCGATAATATTGGGTGGCAACGATCTGAAAAGTGATACAGCCATTTTTAGTGATTCGACGCAAAATGCTGTTTAGAGTCTAATATCCTTCCTGGGCTAATAAAATATATGTATTTTTTTAGTTTTGGAAAAGAGAGGAGGGAAGTTGCAGCAACGGTAAGAGTGACATGGAACAAAATAAGCTGAGCACCATTGGTATAAATAGTAGCACGATGTGGTTTTGACAAAAATGCATAGAAAGCTTTTTTTTTTTTTTTTTTTTTTTAATAAGGAAACAAATTTAATGCCGGAAGTGTTGCATTTATTGCTGAAATGAGAGATGTACAGAGGTCGGCCGATGTCATTGGCCATACTGAAAGAAGTTTATTCACCATCATGTGACAAGAATTACAGCTGAATCGTCTTCGATTCTTTACAGACTGTTGAGCCACGTCGGGCGGCCATTGTCAATAATGACAGCCATCACATTGTGCATCGCATAGCTGCGTTGTGAACTATGCTGCGCCAGTTCTGACACAGCTGAAACACCACTTGAAAAATGTAACTCTTCTGAGAATAAAACCTTTCATTATTAAAAAGGGGAACAAAATCACGTTTTTTTTTTGGGGGGGGAGGGCTCGTTTCTTGCTGCTTTTTGTAGTTTTCGAATTGTTGATTTTTTTCTTTTACCTGCTACTCGATGAGCCGGTATATATAATGCTGAGGAATATTAATTACGAAACTTATTTAACTTGAACAAATAAATATTTATCGGAATTTGTCTCAGAATGTTTTGTTCATTAACTCTTTGTATCGGAATTTGTCTCAGAATGTTTTGTTCATTAACTCTTTGAAGGGCGGTGGTTACCTCTCTGTTGAACGTCTTAATCACTCGTGTGAGTGGTTTTCAAGATTGACCGTTTCTGAACTTCCCTTGTAGCTCACTAGACGGCAATCAAGAAACATAAGCTAGTAGTTGATGCAGCAATTCGTCTTCAAGGAAATAAGCATCAGCCATCGAAGACAACATCATGACGATGTGCACTCTGTAGCACCAAGAAAAAGCCTGTAAGAACAGTATGGGAATGCAGCACACCATTCTGCTTGAAACGAAAACTGTTTTCAGGAGTACCATACCATAGAGACTGATTTGTAGGGATGTGTTCTGTGGGCGGTGGTCACTGATACTACCCACCAGAAAAGTGGTCATTTTTTTCACGCGTCTTGGACAAAATATGTGTAATTGTGGCAAATAAGTTCATTGTAGTACCTAATATAGTAAATAAAACAAGAGTTTTACTGAAAAAGTTAATTGCCTTTTCCTGCTTCTCAAAGAGTAAAAGGCTGTGCACTTTCTTTCTCCCCCTTCCCGGTTTGAATTTTATTCTCATTTCCTGTGCTCATTCTATGTATTTTTGTGGCGGTAAGTTTTATTAAATAGTGTTGCGAATAGTATACATCTGTAAATATGTGAAATTATAGCATTTTGTGTATAGTATTACATGAAATAC